GAGAAGCCTCCGGGATGGTGCATGAAAGACCTGTCGGTGATGGATCCGCCTGATCTGGCCCCCGCAAGGATGACAGCGTTGACGTCGGGGACGACGGCAGCTGGCCGGAGGAGACGCCAGCAAGGGGAGCGAGGGTGGCGCCCGCGCCGGCCATCCGCCCACCTATGGCCGGGTCGGCCTTACGGGAGGCCAGCGCAGCCACAGCCAGCCTGGCGGCGGAGACGACGGGCGAGGCCGGAGCAGGGAGCCTCGCGGATGCGGAAGCTGGCAGCTTGCCTGGGGGCACCTCTGGCACCTCCACGGACACTCCACCAACCTGGCCGGGGTGGTCCAGCGACGGCTGCGGCAGAGCGGGTAGGAGCTCCCAATCCGGATCGGATCGAGCAGCGGACGGGGCTGCCGGCCGAACGACGCACGACTTGCAGCCAACAGGCAGCCCGGCTGGAGGTGGTGAAAGCACGCTGGCCGGGACGGGTGGCGGCGACGAGGAGGCCGACGGAGTTGTTGGCGGTGAGGACGGGAGGGGCGGGGCGAGGTCGGGGAAGCTCATCTTGCACACCTGCTTGTCCTTGCGGGAGGGAGAGGGAGAGCAGCTCGGGCTGAGGCTGCATCCGGGCGCAGCAGAAGCGGGGGAGGTCGGAGCAAGGAGATCCGGCCGGCGGCGGCCGCGGCGTGCTCACGCGGCCACGAGCGCGGACGCGAGAGCCATCGTTTTCCCCCTCCTATGTTAGGCGCGCAGACAAAGAAAGAGAGGCGGTGCAAATAAGGCCTTAAACAGTATGTCTTCAAGTTTGATGACTGCAGATATGTTGGATCATTTGAAACTGCACAAGTATATAAGAATAAATATATGTGGCAAAATAGTGAAAGGTATATGATTTCTCTGTCGTGAAACAAAATAAATCCGACTGATGTGCATGATGGCGGCAGGCGGCTCGCGATTAGCTTCCTAATAGGATGGATGCGTCCGAGATAAGTTTTTTAATATGATGGATTTGTCTGAGATTAATTTCCTAATAGGATGGATGCACTCTGATTTACTTTCCTAGAATGTGATGCACCTGTGATTATTAGTTTCCTAATTTCCCAGGCGTGGAGTTTCATATTTTCCTCCACGGTGGAGTACGGTCAGTCAATGTAAATTGCTAAGTGCACACAGAAAATGGGTTAGGTTAAGTCTAACCGTTAGATTGATTTTAGTGGGTCTAATCGTGTAGTGGTATTGGATCTGTGTACACTTTATGGGGTGTGCTTAAAAAAGTTCTTGCTTGATTGTTTAATAGTAGTATAGAAAACTGAAGCTACAGCAACAGGAGAACCCTTAGGAGATTCGGCGATGATGCTATTCTGATTCCTACGACGCAGCATATTAAGTGCGCAGCAATCACACACATGCCCCAGGCTAGTCCCAGTCGGTTTGCCTGTCGCTCAGCGAGACACATGTGTTGCTTTGCACCGCGGCCAGGCACCCGGCACGGTTAGGTGACAACAAAACCCAGAAAAGGACCAAAGCTGTGGACAGTGGACGCGATCAAGCGCCAGGGAAAGAAAGAGGGGGTTTGGTGCCGGCCGCTCCGTTGTCGAGATCCGGGGAAATGGACCGGGCAACGGCACAATCTCTTCACGCGACTCGTTGCCATGTTATTGTACTCTACTACTCCAGTACGTACCAAACTCCAACGACGACGAGGCACCAACGAACCGGCCGGCAGGCCGGCGCGCGCTCCCGTCAAAGCGCTTCGGCCTGGCGGACGTCGGGAGCTTCCACGTCGTTTCGGTCTGCCGGCCGGTCGCTCCATTATCCGTAGCCCCTTCCACACGCTCCATGTGTGGAAACGGAGGCGCTGTTAGAGTGTTGGGTGTTGACCTCCGTGCGCTCGTAGGAACAACACAACCGATGCGTCGACGCTACGCGGATGCAGACTGTGCGTGCGAGCTCGTTGCACTGCAGATCGCCTACGGACTACGGAGTATAGCCAAAGAATCGAAGCAACCTCCCGCTGCACGTGCTCGCAGAGGTCACCAACGCGCCATAAACCGCGGTTGACTACCACGCACAAGCACAAATTTACGTCACTGATCTTTCAGAAGAAGAGAAAAAAATAAACGCCCACGCGTCGGGCGCCGGGCGCCGCAGCCCCTCGCACGGCCGGCGAACCGGCTCCGAGCGCGAGGGCGACACGGCGGGTGGTTCGGACGGACTCCGCGCCGCGAACCGACGGCGGGTGGGGCGTCGCTCATCTCATGGCACGCCTCAAGTTTCCCCTGGTTCAAACCTCGTGGCACTTCGCGCCTACGGCCCCGTGCTTCCGCCTATTTCCGTAGGGGCGGGAATAAACTAAGACTTTGAGAGGAAGCTTTTCGGTTATTTCTTAGAGAGCACTTAAAGCAAAGCATTTTCGTTCGCTGCTGGTGCCTGGTGAGAGGGACGCTCCCAATTTGGACATCTTTTAAGATTGCCGCAGTAGACGCGTGTAGCACATGACGGGGAGAGCTGGAGTGGTTGCGGTTATTTGGGTTTGTTTAATGGTCTTATAGAAAACAGCTCATGCCATCCTCAAAAAAAAAAAAAAAACCAGCTCATGCCGTAGAATATTTGTGTTCTCACATGGACGTACAAGAATTCTTTCCATCTTGTTGTGTATAAACAATTCACAATTCTGGAGTACATATGAAGTTGAAACGGTCATATTTTTTTTAACATTTTATGCATTTCGATTTCATGTATGCGGTATGTCAACTTTTTTTGGTGTCTAGATCCGCGGTCAAGGTTGATACTTTGGCTCTTACAAAGGTTCATGAAGAAAACATAGGCTTTTTTTTTTACTTTGTACATGGGACAATGAGACCGCCGAATACGGTCTCGAGAAAGCAACACTACGTTTAACTACGTTATCGACCAAATCAGGAAAACATAGTGCATATCATCCCCCTTTTTTTTCTTACATAAAATTGCAATCTCAAGAGCTTCAGTTGGATATGCGGGATCCAAGCAGCAAATAGCTTTCTTGCATCTCCAACTTTAAATTGGGATCATCGAGCATAGAGAGAACAAGACCATGATATGGTCATCGAGTAGCATCGTAAGTGATATACTAACTAATCCCCCATCCACCACAAGGAGCGCTCGATTAAGGGAAACCTCTCACATGTGTTTTTAGTTTTTCAAGAGCGAAGAACATAGAGGAAGGATGTGCATAATTGTTAGGCAAAGTGAAAGCACTAGCCAGCAACATCTTTTACGCGGTTCGTATGAGATCTACTAACAAAGATATATGTAAACTCATAGTTGCACACAGAAATCATGTCATTACATTGAGATGACATACAACATGATTTTACCGTTTTCTCTATCCCGATCAAATTTGATTATTGGGACACCAACCTAAAGGTGATGAGCCTATTCTTAGTGGTTCTCATAAGAGAAACCAATTTTTACATATATTCACCGTGTATCTATGACATGTATCATTTTAGAGTGAAACATGTCATATATACATTTTAGCTCCCGTTCTTTCCCTGACCCATTATCCGTTCACAAGATGACAAATGACAACAGCCACAAGTTCTATCATTATCTTCCCATCGAAACTTGCAGGGGCACACATGTTTGTGGGCACGCATCTGCCCGGCCGCGTCGGACACTTGAGTGCCTTGTGATCCACAAAGTTGTTGGATTTCCATGAAGACCCATTAAGTTTTAGTTTCTGAAAATTACAATTTTATTATTCACTCATACCAAGTTTCAACAGTTGCAACTTATCAATGATTAAAAAAACGACAAAAACGTATCCAATGAAGCTTATTTGAAAGCCCTCGTCATAAGAAACACCAATATGCAAACCAAAATTATTTGGACTTTCGGTTAAAAAAAAATTGGAAGCCGAAAGAAAAAAGGGGGTCGGTGCCCCTACCCCTGCGTGCCATAACCATTTTCAAACAGTTTCATCTTCGTAGAAAGATGTTCAAATAGTTTCACCGAAACATCATTCCATTCCAGGGGCAGGGGCCTAAATATTTTCCATGGGAGCTTAAAAAAAATCATGTGGGGTACTCAAATATTTTCCTTTTCCTTTGCCACACCGCATTGACTAGCTCAGCATATCTTTGGCCACCAATAATGATTACCCAAAAAATACCGAGGACCTGGAGGGTTTAAATGCAAGCAGGGCTCCCATGCCCACCTTCCGACGGCGACCGCCGACTGGGCCGCCATTATCCCCCCTCCAACCATTACCTCCTCCTCTTCCTCTTCTCCATCCCCCTCCGCCCTCACCAACTCCTCCCGTCTCGATTCGCGACACGAATTCCTCCGAGGCCAGGCCAAGAGCTGGGGGCGAGGCGAGGGACGGACGGACGGGGATTGCCTCGTGAAGTGATCCGACATACCCACGCTCCGCGGCTTGGGATCCGAACCCCAATCCCGAGGTATTTATTCCATGCCTCCTGTTTGTTTTCTCGAACAGAACCAGTCCAGGCGTTCCGTGGTAGCATATGAGGGGGATTTCATGCTGCTGTTTTGCTCTGCCCGGCTTGGATCAAGAACTCATCCCCCCCCTGCTTTGTCCATTTTAGAGTATTTTGGCTGTTTCTTGCTGTTGTTTCCGGTACCATTTGCTCTTTTGACATTCAGATTGGAGTACTTCTATAGCTGTGTTTGTGTTTAGAGTTTCCTCCTTTGTTGTTATCGTGTTCGCTATATAGCTATAGATCTATGATCTCCGTGTGCTAATATGTTAGAATTTTGGTTGCAGCGGGAGAGAAGGCTGAAATTGAAGGCGTTCCTTAGGCGTGGAGTTGGAATTTCTGAGGACAGGAACGGTCTACCCGGTGCTGCGGTACCTGTTCTTGTTGGGCAATTGATCGGTTTATGACTGAGCTGGTATGAGATGAAGTGATTGGAGCCACAACTTGTCTGTAGAGCAGCATTTTGGTTCAGAGAGGTGATGTCTTTTGCTTCACTCTAGAACTGTACATGCGCGACATATTGAGCACCTGCAATGGCACGAAGAAATGCTGGGGCAATGCAGCGAGAGGGGTCGGTTAAGGACTGGTCGGAATTCGACCCCTCACCGTCTCCCAAGATGGCGTACTCGCAGTCCTATGTTGCAATGAGAGGGGTGCTGACTTCGCTGGCTTCGCTTGACCTTGTCCTGATGTCGAGCAGCCTAAAATCTGCGTGGGCAACTATATCGTCCCACAAGCATGCTAGGTCCTTGGAGAGGCCAAAGTCAAAGGGGATGGGCTGGAAAAAGGCCATGATCAATCTATTCGTGTGTTTCATGATTGGCATTTTCATCGGATTCACGCCGCTCTTCTCTGCTGATTTGTCAAACAAAATGCCTGCTGAAAAGGACAGGCTTCCATTTGATGGAGATGTGATTGATAGACGACAAATGGTAGAACATCAAGGCACCAAGCTGGAGCCATTTGTAGCGGAGGCTGAATCTGAAGCGGTTAATGAGCCACAGGCTGAGGAGAGTCCCCCAGTTCCTGCAATGTTGGATGATGAGGCAGATTTTGTTGAAGCCTTGCCTATTGTACATTCTGTTAATGATTCTGGCATTGTTGCAAGAAAGCAACTGATAGTTGTGACAGCAACAACAGTTCGACCACACCAGGCATATTACCTTCATCGTCTGATTCATGTCTTGAAGGATGTACCGCCTCCTCTTCTGTGGATAGTGGCAGAGTGGCCATATCAGTCTCGTGAAACAGTAGAAATCCTGAGGTCTTCTGGGATCATGTACAGACATATTGTATGCAATAGGAATGTTTCAAATATTAGGAAGATTATTGTCTGCCAAAAGAACAATGCAATATTTCATATAAAGAAGCATCATCTAGATGGTATAGTGCATTTTGCCGATGAGGAGAGAGCATACTCAGTCGATCTATTTGAAGAAATGAGGAAAATCAGGTGACAGTTGATCTATTCTGCTTTAAGTTATCACAATTCATGATGCAAACTAGTAAAATCTTGACACTCTTTAACCAGCACAAATATCAATTAATTTACCATTATACTTTATCATCAAAACTTGAAAACTATTGTTTGTCGGCTTATGCTCACCTTCGTATTACTAACTGCATGTTGACGTTGTAAAATCTTTTACTGCTTGAAGAATGTTTGCTAGTTAGTATGAAATGTTTTTTTTTCCTTCTCAAATTTGCTGATAATGCGTAATGTTTTAAATGCTAGAATCAATCAACTCTGGTAATAGGATATTATCTTGAAGCTAATAGTACACAATTGTTGGGATGGATGGAGTTTGACATAGAAATGCACATCCTATCTTTCTTCCTTTATTTCACTTTTGTCATCCTTATTTCTGATAGCTTTGAATTTGTTTTTGGTGCACTGGGGCTCCATGCAGCTATAAAATGTCCCGCACAACAAAAAGTAGACTATTTTAAGCAGTGTAGTGGTAGTAGGTCACATATCTTTTCTCCACTAAATTAAATCTTGATTGATTATTACTTTACAGGCTTTCTAAAGATATCCAGTAAAGTGTCTTGCTTGTTTAGTCATAGCCGACTTGTGTGGGGATGCAATTTAGCAGTACCTCCTAACCTTATAATTAAAGAAAAATATAAAGGCTTTGCACTAAACTCTGTATTAGAATACCGAGAAATAATTTTGGCTTGTGATTTTTGACACGACAAAGAGCTGACAAACTTACTGCATTTATAAGTTGCTGTGCTGATGCATTTAATCTACCAAACCTAAGATTTAGTCCTTATCCTCACTCCAGATGAATTTCTACATTTGCCATTCTTTTGACGGCCAAACAGAAGTTGTCAGGAGTTATTTATCTTCTTAATTCTAGAGATCATAGTTATTGTGATTGTTGGTTATGTAATCTCAGTTAAGTGATGATAGAATTATAGAGGATGAATGGTGTCTGCCATCAGGAGTTCTTTTCTTTTCTGATTTATAGTTCTACGTTATATAATCTCGGTTAAGATATGATGAAGTACAAAGGATGCCGAACATTGTTTTTATCAGTGAAACCAAGAGAGGTGATAATGTCCGTTTACAATTTCACATCAAAAGTCAAAACATCTGTCACTGAACCAAGTAGTATGAAATTTGAAATTGTGACCTATTCTCCAAGAGCATCTCTCTCATTGAACAGTTAAGATGTTACTCATAATTTTGCGCTATGTTATGCAGGCGCTTTGGTACATGGCCAGTAGCAACACATGTTGGGACTAAGTATAAATTGGCTTTGGAAGGCCCCCTTTGTAAGGGTGATCAGGTCACTGGATGGCATACAAACCAGAAGAGCAGTATGCTTCGTCGATTTCCAATTGGCTTTTCTGGATTTGCTTTTAACAGCACTATTCTTTGGGATCCTAAGAGATGGAAGAGCCCTACTGTAGGGTCTATTATACTCCATTCAGGTGGAAGGGGTGGCTTGCAGGTGAGTTCTTCATCAAAATTTCAAATACCTAGGCAGAAAAAATGACTTATCTTGATATCTTCTTAGCTTTTGCTTGAAAATATCTGTCAGGACAACTATTATTTACTCCCTCTGTATCATAGTGTCAAAAAATGTCTTATATTTTGATATGGAGGGAGTAGTTCTTTGTAATTGCCGTCCTAGTTGACGAACTGCAGTTGTTATTAATTACTCTTTGTGAACATACAATCTGTTGGGGTGAGCCAAATGTAACCATATGAATATCCATGAGAGCAAGTATAGCCAATACAATGATCTAAAGGAACTAGAACATAGCAATTCCATATTGTACTATATAGGGAAATTGCTAAGGCAATGCTTACTAGAGTACATCAATAAATCATCACTGTACTGAAACATGGTGCCATTGCAGGAGTCAAGATTTATTGAGAGGCTTGTCGAGGACGAGAGTCAAATGGAAGGCCTGGCAGACAATTGCACCCGGATTATGGTCTGGAATTTCGATTTGGAACCTCCTCAACTCAATTACCCTACTGGCTGGTTGCTGCAGAAGAACCTAGATGCTACGTAGCTGTCTCGGTGCCCCATCTTTTTGTTTGCTCATACTAGTGTGAGTGACGCCTTCCTGAACTTGGCAGCGCCCAGGATCACGCGAAGCTGCTCTCTGCCAAGACCTGATTCAGAATAATGTCACACCAGTAAAAAGTTCAAAGAAAGAAGCCTGACAAAAGAACAAACCCCCCTCACTCTCCATTCTTTCCAAAGTTCATTTCTTACTCATATTCATCCAGCTAGATTTAGCCCTGTATATTTACCCTTTCTTTGTTTCGGTTCATTATTATACATGCATATATCACCTTACAGATGCGGAAGTTTGTCACCGTTGCAATTGTTGACAGATAGATATACACTCTCTTGATACATGAGCAAAAGCAAAAGCAAAATCACAGATTGGGTTTGAGAGTGTGTGCTGTCCCTGTCCGTGCTTGGCTTCTGAATTTTCTTCTCAGCTGTAATTCTCCCTATGAATGTTCTTGATTGGGTTTGACGGGTTTGGCCATACACCTTATGTTTGGTCTGTTTTTTGGGGGCTCGTCTAGTCTCTAGGGCATGTAAAATGGTTCTATTTTAAGAATGTCACGTAGGATAAATGATGAGATGATCTCTTAGCACAATATGTCTCATCATGTTTTTAAAAATAGCTAATTATTGAAGATAAGATTAAGAGATGATCCATTGTAAACATGTTTTTTTGTCATCTTTAAATTACATGAAGACTTAAGATAAAACTATCTTATCAACCATTATATATGCTCTTAACTGCCTTTGCAATTAGAAATTGCGGAGTGGTGTCTGCTTGTATTGGCACTGCAGCGTTGTGATTCACCTTTGGATGTCAGGTTCGGAGAAGGCACCAGTCAATTGCCCATCTGCGGCTCAACGATGGTGCTGCTGTTAGGGCATGTACAATGATGGCATATGGATACATATGCCTTATGACAAAAAGTAATTTGAGGCATACGTGTTGATTTGTTCTCCCCAATGCAAGCTACTACTAGTGGACCTCATCAAAAAAAATAAAAAGTGACTCTTACTACACATGCATCCCTCCTCTTCACTTTAACTTTTTTCCAACTTTATGCATCGGACCATACTTTTCTCTCTAAGCACCCGCCTTCTGAGAAGGATCCTGTTTCCCCATTCGAACCTACTTTTTCTGTCATCCGATCCTACATTGCATGTGAGGCATCACCCTGGGGTTATGTATTGGCCTTGCCCTTATGGTGTTGAGGATCAGCTCAGCGATGGTGACGACGCTCGTACGATAACAATATTGTGGAGTAAGGACGACTCCAACATGTATTGTTCGCCCGTAAATGTGTCCGACCAAACGATGGTCACCAAATTTGTTTGGACCGGTCCGGACTCTGAAATCCGACAAACCAACATGAAACCGGGAAAAGTCTAGGAGAGTTTGGATGCCCGCCACATCGGACTCTGACAGTTCAGGCCACCCAAAACTTCTCTCTCGTTGTCTGGAGAACCCATCGTGCATTCACTTTGACGCCTTTTTTTACTATTTACTGTAGGGCAACAACCCTATTGTCCTTTATTCTAGAAAATTTTGCCCATGCTGTTTAAATCCGCTCCCACTTGACCACGGGCATGACGATCTCCACATTCAACCCACCTCTTACCCTGCCCCAGCTATTTAAGTCGTCCGACCGTGCCCCAAAACCCTACCCCTCCGAGCCCTTCTCCCATCGTTCGAGCCATCGTCCAACCACCTTCGCATTCTTGTCCATTGTCCGCCGTGGCCATGGAGTCCTTTGCGATGTGGTACAAGAGACTCACATTGGCGCGCCACGCTCGTGGCGAAGGTCCGCGAAACGGAGGCCTAGTGCTAGGGCCGCATAGGTGCGAGCCAACCTTCGAGCTCTCTGGAACGCTCGGAGGAGATGGATGGTGACTCCATGGTCATGGTGGAGATCACCATGGAGGCGTCACTAGAAGAGTAGCAGCCCGGGCCGATGGAGGTGCCCCCGGTGTCCGGGTTCAACATGCTACAGGTGAGGCAACACTACAACCAAATGCTGGTGAATGCGGTGGAGGAGCAGGGGCCCGTGCTGGTGGAGGAGCCGTCAGTGTACGTGTTTAGGTAACTGCTGGCTGGCAGCAGTACAACCTCTAGCTTTTAGAAGGGCACCGGCTGACAGCGTACCAGCTGGAGGTGGGGCGCACGCCCGAAGCTACCGTCACGGACATGGTTGCGACAGACCCCGATTATCACACATATCAATCGGGCCGCATTTGAGTCCGTGCACAACGCTCGTGCCATCCGCCCATAGCGTTGGCGGCCTCGTGACAACGAGGTGGTCCGCAACAGGCTCTTTGAGGGGTTGTAGGCAGAGGACGATGATGCACTGGAGAAGCACATCGATGATGCCAAAGAGGTATCCATCGTCACCGCCGCCTTGCTTGCGCCGGCCATAAACAACAATGAGGTTGGACCGTCCCATGCGTGCTCTATCAACCTCACCTCTGACGGGTAGGAGTAGAGTAGGATTTAGTTGGTTTTAGGTCCTTTTTCTATGTCGAAGTTATTTTAAAAAATCAATGAAAATCTATGTCCACTTTTTTTGGTGACTCTGGTTGGCTGGCCGGCTCCCCGCCCACGCGGACAATTGGTGATGTCCATTTGGTGATCTGCTTCAAAGTTACACTAACACCCTTCGTGCGAGTCAGCGTGCAGGTGAGAAGATGCCAAAGAGTAGCCCCACTCGTCCCTCACGTTGCAAGCCATACACGAAAGTTGGGTGAGGCTTTTCTTCAAGAGGAAAGTATAGCCCCCACCCTCAAATCCTTCTTAACGGATGCATATCCCTCTGAACTCTAAAGCTGGATAAATTACATCCCGAACTTATACAAAACCAGATCAATGTGACCCAGGTGGTTTGGGGAGAATTGGAGGGGGTTACGTTCTAATTGCTGATTGGGCATGTTGAGTTGGCCAAAATTGTTTTAGGGGGGTGTCACTTCTTTGTCCCGCGCAAGGAAAGTGGTCATTATTGTCTCGTCTCTTCTTCGTTGCGGTGGGGAAGGAAGGATCCTCCTCCGTCGTCAATGCCTCCTCGACTGCACCGCCATCTCCTCCGCTGGCGCCATGGATGCAGATTAGTCGCCGACCTCAACCCCCCTTGTTTCCTGGTGTTCTACTCCGTTCGTGTCTTGATCAGATAGGTAAAGAAAGGTGGGGCTTTGAGGGTTTGATTTCCTTGATTATATTGGGGGAAATAGAGGGTTATTGCTCGAGTTCGTGCTATGGCACCAGTCTTGTCCGCGGCTTCGCCTAGAACCCTACCATGACATCGATTTTAGCATGCCATGACAACGGTTTTGCATGATGTATATGGTTTCTATTTGTGAGTTGTTTAAAGGGGCAAAATATGGCATTATTTTTGTGACTAGAGGGGAAAATAAGGGGAAAAGAGGGGACCTTTTATCGCAACAACTGTTTCTATGTTTTAATAAGTTATTGCACTAAATTATGTGTTGATCAAAGATTTCTAATTTGTGCAACAACTAAAGAAGATCTAGCAGATGTTCTCAACAATTTTTAGTTGGATTGCACTACTTTTGAACATTTGATAGAGCAGATGGATTGCTGGAGTATATTTATGGAATGGTTGTTGAGGTTTTTGTGGAAAAATCTAGACTGGGTTATGCAGAAGTGCTTGCACATGCAGAGGATATGTATCATGTGGAAAGATGACATTGTAGAGGCAAGTAAAGCTGGTAGCTGTTGACCATGGAGTACTTGTCGATCCATTAGCGATGACTGTATCATTTAGCTAGCTAAAAACTTAAGTTCCACTTCAGCTCCCTGAACACCAGGCAGGACGAAACTGCATTGGTTAGTTCCTGACAAAACACTCAGTGAATGTTTGTTGTATCTGAATGATGTTGCATCAATTGAAAAGGTGGACACTATACAAACATATGTGGAGTTTGATGACGTATTTGTGGAGGAAAGTGAGCAAGTGTTTGTGCAAGATGTAGGGTAGGGAAAGGAAAAAGGAACTAAAGTGGAGGGATATTCAGAAGATGTAGAGCAAACAAATGAAGAAGATGCAGATTTGTGGAATCCAGATAAGACAATGTTAGATGTTGCAGTCCTTGTTTCAGCTAAAGTTTGTGAAACTTATTCCATGCACAGAGGAAACCAAATTTATTTGATTATTAAGGTTATGAAGACAGAAATGGTGGATGACATTGAATTTCATTCTCTCAACTTCCCTCTTCGGTCCAGCTACTTCTTCAGGATGCATCAGCATCAAGAATGTTGGACTTTTCCTCCATCACTTAATGCTAGACTTGTTGTATTTGAATCTTTAGTTTCCTGACATCGGCCTTCAAATGACTGACAACACCTGGCAAATCACTAAGCAACCGAGTAATGAACTGTTTGTTTGGATTATCATGCCACTTGAAGAACAACAATTTACAATGTAGTGCAAATTATGGATCTTGAGTGTTGCAGATCGAAGCCACACCAAAACATACAGAAGCATAGAAGTTTAACTTTGATTTCATGCAGTTGTTGTACCTATGACCAAGATTCATGCGGCTCCATGAAATCCATCGATGCGCCTTTTGTGGCAGTGGTAGAGCTCCTCGGTGCGTGCTCCATTTGTCCCTCCCGGTATGATACCGGTGACTATAATGGCAACACCATGCTTAGCGAAGATGAAGGGCGGCTGGTGGGAGCTAGCGAAGGATTGTATCATTGCTTTCCGCCATAGATTGGAGCTAGGTTTTTTCGCCCTAATGGGGAATCGCGGTGGGAGCTAGGGTTCATCGCCAATCACCTTTGGTGCATATGATTAGGATGCAAGGTAGGGTTCGTACCGAGATGGGAATTAGATTGAGTCGTTCTGTCTTGCCATGTCATATGCCCAGTTAGCATCATTAGAACAAAAACCACCTTCAGTTCTCTCTAAAACTGCCCAGAGCCACATTGATCCAAAAATTTGTATAATTTCGGGGTGTAATTTATCTGGTATTAGAGTT